CCTAGGGCATCAGGTCCTCTCTGGACTGCTGATTGCCAGGGGGACCACCTGGGGCTTCGCTCCAAGAAGCTCTAACCCCAATCCTTCAGCAGGCAAAAGCCAGCGCAGAGGCATTTTGTCACTACACGGCAGTCACTGCTGTGGACGTGGCAGGACCCAAGAACTACTTCTGCAAGGCTTAGACAAAGCTTAACAAAGCTACAGAAGCTCTGATTTAGATTAATTTTTAAATACATAAATTTTGAAATAAAAGCTCCATTAGTTTTGGAAAGCTCGTGCTTGATGTGCAGGCTTCCCACAAGATGCACTGTGTGTCTGCTTCCCAATAAGCCAGCCAGTGACAGCTGATGGGACTTCAGTGTTGAGTTAACTAGAGACAGAGGTCTAAAGGTTAGGTGGTGTAAAAGAAAGAATTTTCGCCTTAGAAATATGGAGTTAGGCAGTAAATTCTTCTTTACAAACAAATGGTATTTAAGCTGCTCTTTCTCTGGAAGCATTAATGTGTAATCTTTATTCTAAATATTATTTAACACTAAAATTGTAATTATTTGGGGGAGAATATTGTTTGTTTCACTTTTATCTTGCATGTTTTTCCAGTTTTGCTTATAGGAAAAGATGCTTGAAGGAAAGATGGCTGATATTAACTTGAAAGAAGTGACGTTAATAGTCAGCGTGGTTGCCGCCTGCTACTGGAACAGTCTGTTCTGTGGGTTCGTTTTTGACGATGTTTCAGCAATATTGGACAATAAAGATCTGCATCCATCTACACCTTTAAAAACTTTATTTCAGAATGATTTCTGGGGAACTCCTATGTCTGAGGTAAATAATCACTTTTAAATTTTTAATAAAAAATTAAACAAATTACAGGTGTAATTCACTTACCTCTAAAAAACAAATATAGTTTAATACTCATCACTTAATATACTTAGATAGATACTTAATTGCTAAGTAACCAGTATGCCAATGATATCCAACACAGGCCTCGCTTTCTTTCAGGAGTCTTGAAGATTCGCTACAGGAAATGCTAATATAAAGAGCTTTAAGAAAATCAGTTTCCAGATTTCTTTTCAAATGTTTGAAAGAAAGATTTTCCCCTAAAAACCACTGCAGCTGTGAATGTGTCTGTGTCCTACAGCTCCTTATCTCAGAAGCAGGATTTGTTCCACTAGCAGTGGACCGTGACTCACTTTCCTAGAAATATTTCCATATGAGACTTAACGTGTGCCGGGAGAGCAGCAGGTGTTACTGCAGGTCTGTCCCTGGCTCTCTCTCTTGTCCTGTGAGTCAGGCAACAGAAATGACGGATTAACTTAACCATTAGCATGGTAAATTCAATATAAATAGGTCAGTTTTTAAAGATAAGTACATGTTGCCTATTTCTCTGCAGTAAGAAAAGTGTTTACTTAAAATTATTTTGAAAGTCAGTGTTAACTTATTTAATTAGGATTAAACCCTTTTCATCATTGGGTCATATAGACGGGATTCTAATTTAGTTCTGTCATTCATTAGCTATGTGACATAAACTACAGCTTTTTGATGCTGAAACATTTCCCTGATCTGTAAAAGTAACTGATACCTTGAGGATAAATAATGAATGTCTTTGTCTACAGTACTTGTCAAGTCACTTTTGGGTGCAAACTGTTTTGAAACAGTGGATCTCAGTCATCATTCATGACATGTACCCATTCCTTCAATCAAGAACCTTTTCATGCGTCAATCACCTGATGATAAGCATAAATTCTTGTTTGTGGAGCTCTTTGATCATTGTCTTCATAATAAAAGCAATGACTGCTTTCTGTAGCCTGTAGTTCCAAGGTATTTTAATAACCTGTGCTTGTTTGTCCTTGTAGGAGAGAAGTCACAAGTCATATCGGCCCTTAACAGTGCTAACATTTCGCTTAAATTATCTGCTCAGTGAACTGAAACCAATGTCGTATCATCTCCTAAACACAGTTTTTCATGCTGTCGTTAGTGTGATATTTCTTAAAGTCTGCAAACTTTTTCTGGATAGGAGGAGCAGTGTGATTGCTGCTCTGCTCTTTGCTGTGCATCCAATCCATACAGAAGCAGTAAGTAAAACTGTAAAGTGATTAATGAAATCTCAGGCATTTCAATATTCCCAATTCAGTTCAGTCTTACTCTCTCCCGTGCACAGAGTTCCTATTACCGGTTTACGTAAAAGTTTTCAATTTAATATAGTTTTGAAGGTAATGTTTGTCCAAGAATGTATGTATAGGTGAAGTGATTGCATCACAAGCATGCGTACTTGAATTTGTATCATCAGCACCCATGGGAGAAGCCCAGAGTGGTAGCAGATTCTTAGAATCTCACAGTGTGGAGATAGAGTCAAGGGGATCCAGGGGCTTGATCTAGCTGATCCCTGGGTTTTGGGCTTATTGAGAGAACCTTTCTCCAGTGCAACACAGAGGACCGGAAAGATGGTTCAGTGCTTAAGAGCCATTGCTGCTTTGCAGAAGATGCTGGTTTGATTCTTAGCAGCCACGTGACAGCTTAAACCTTCAGTAATTCCAGTCAGAAGATGTAGTGCCCTCGTCCAGCCTCTTCAAGCACTAGGCAGACACAGTGCATTTAACACGTGAGCGCTTGTACATATAGGATAAGATAGATCTGTAAAGAGGTGAAACTAGAGAGCAATGGAAGAGGACGCCCAACATGGATAAATACATATTAATATATCATCAGCAATTATATATATATGTATATAATCTCTTATGGTTATTAATGAAAATGTAAATGAACATACTTTTTCCTATGAAGATATAGCCAAAATAATTTTTCTTGCCTATGTTGACACTCTAAAACGCTTCCCAGGGAAGAACTAAGAATACTCTATTTAGTTGCTTTCTTGTAAGCTTTTCTTTTTAAGCAAAAATGTTTTTGGGTCTCTCTATGACTCACTCTCTCTCTCTCTCTCTCTCTCTCTCTCTCTCTCTCTCTCTCTCTCTCTCTCTCTCTCTCTCTCTCTTTCTCTCACTATTATGGAACCATGTGGTATTCAGCTGAGTTTTTCCATTCATGTACAAAAGAGATAAATGGCTTCAAGTGGTACATTGAATTTCATTGCTTTAAAAAGCAGGATTTGATTTTGTGGGGTTTTTTATTAAAATAACTTGAAATTTCTTTAGTTTGCAAATTAGTAAATTTATAGCTTCATATTAAAAAACACTCATGTTAAGAAAATAATGCAGGGAAACTTAGGTTTTTAAAGAGTTAATCTCTATATTGTATTGTAATTACATAAGATGTTATAATTACGTGAAAGGTGGTAAAGAATATACAAAAACTAATATTTTTGCCAAGTTAAAATAATGACTTTGTTTTACAAGAATTTTTTTAGATTTTCATTCATGAATGATACCTAAATTTACCACATGAGGGCGCTCACATATTAACAAAATAGAGCTCTACCCTTGAAAAACTGAAGTTTTAGGTTTTAGGTTTTAGGTTTAGTCATTATACATAATAAAATTCAAAGCACTGCACTAACTTGAGTGCCCTGTCTTCTTCTAGGTGACTGGTGTTGTAGGAAGAGCTGAGCTTTTGTCGTCTGTCTTTTTTCTGGCTGCATTTTTGTCATACACTAAATCAAAAGGACCAGACAATTCCATAGGTAAATATCTGCCTAGCTTTTTTATTGTAGTTATGAAACTTAATCAAATAAGTTTATTTATTCATTCCAAGTGCTTCATAATTAAGATAACATGTGGGTTTGCCTTTATTTGTTGGGAGCTGTGAACCCCCAGATCCTGAATTTCTTGTAAACAACTTGTTTTCCCCTGATCTGAGTGCCTACAGCTGCTCTGAGCACGAGACCTTCAGGAGTTCCTGATGGCAGGAAAGTGGTTTCTGGTGGGTTTGGCTGGGGCGTGGCTATCTCTATATAATCTGCCCCTGAACACAATAAGGGGGCATTCTTGGGGCTTTGGTATCAGTGTAAAAGGTCTGCGTGTCGGTCTGTCTCTGCGTCTGTATTCTCAACCTCCAGCTCCCTTTCCCGAAGCTCGAGAACTGGGTAATAGCGCATCGAGCGCAGACACGGGGGCGCGGTGCGTGGCATTTATTGTTCCACGTTAGCGTGTATAAAAAATGACATAACATTGTCAATATTAAAAAAAATGGCAGGTTCCTCTCAATGATCAAATAACCCTAAAATGGAGGATTCAGAGTCAGTCTCAATTTCATCTGTTTTTTTTTTCTATAAAAAATGCAAGTACCAATTCTTCAGGTGTGTGTGTGTGTGTGTGTGTGTGTGTGTGTGTGTGTGTGCTGGAGCACAGGCACACACTCGTGACTTTTGGAGGACAGCCTCTGATATTGTTCCTCACTTTCCACGTTGAGACTAGTTCACTGCTGTGGACTAGGTCACAAGCTTATGGGAATTTTCTTGTCTCCATTTTGCTGTCGTAGCAAAGGGATCACATACATGCATCTGTGCCTGGCTTTACATTGGTTCCAAGGGTTTGGACTGAGGTCCTCTTGCTTGCACAGTGAGTGCATTAGCCACTCACTATTACCCCAATCTTTTAGTTTTCTTTGATAAATAATAGCTAATGACCCATGATAGTATTTAGGCAAAGTTCAGTGCCTGCTAGAATTTAACTTTTATTATGTATTGTCATAGGTAAATAAATCTCTACCGTGTGGCCTAATCTAGAATATATTTCATACATTAGCTCACCTTTTTTTCCCCGGGGCATAGTGGAAAAAAAGCTTCCTAAATAATCTTAACCTGTATTTAATTATTTTAAACTCCCATGTTTTTCCCTCCTTTTTTTTTCTTTTTTGGTGGTGGTGGCATTCCAATGCAGAATACTAAGATACTATGAATATGAATATTTTGTGTCTCTAATGGAGCTTAATGGGTCCTGGAGACGTAGCTTAGATGGTAGAAATACTTGCCTAGCATTTATAAATCCCTGAATTTAGTCCCCTGCGTTCTATAAAATTACACATAGTAGCATAGACCTATAATCCCAGCACTTGGGAGATGGAAGCAAGATGAGAAGTTCAAGGTCATCCCCAGGTATGATGGTGTAGTGAGTTGGAGGCCAACATGGCTACATGAGACCGTCTCTCAATAAAAAGGAAATAACATATAAAATCAAAATACTTATTTACAGAGTACAACATGATATAGTAATACATGTATATATAATGTAAACCTATCTATCTTCCTTGTGGAAAAGTTTGCAAAGTTCCTTATAGGTTTTTTTTTCAATTCAGTTATTTTTCATGATTTTTTTAATTATTGTTGCTATTACTTTTTACATCCCTGACCACAGTTTCTTCTTTTTCCTCTCCTCCCAGCCCTTCCCCAGTGTCCCCTGCGCCCCCTCCCAATCCACTTCTCCTCTGGTTCTATTCAGAAAAAGGCAGACCTCCCATGTATATCAGCCAAACATGACATATGTTTGACATGACACTTGTGGTAAGACAAGACACCTCCCCTTGTATTAAGACTGGACAAGGCAACCCAGTAGGAGGAATAGGGTCCCAAAAACCAGCAAAAGACTCAGGAGACAGCCCCTGCCCCCACTGTTATGAGTCCCATAAGAAGATCAAGGTCCACAACTGTGACATATATGCAAATGGCTTAGGTCAGTCCTATGCAGGTTTTCTTGTAGTCAGTTCAGTCTCTGTGAGCACCTATACGCCTAGCTAGTTGATCCTGTGAATTTTCTTGTGTTGTTCTGGAACTCTCTGGCTCCTAGAATTCCCGCTCCCCCTTCTTCAGGATCCTCAAGGTTCACCTAATGTTTGGCTGTGGGTGTCTTCATCTGTTTCCATTTGGATGAAGCCTCTCTGATGACAGTTAGTCTAGGCACCAGTCTCGCTAAGTGTAGCAGAATAACGTTACGCAATGACATGTCTTCTTCAGTCTTGTTTGGTTCTATCCTAGGTCTCTGGCTGTCCAGCCTGTGGGTCACAGGTGGGGTGGATGTCAGGCTAGGCCAGCTCAGCCCTGGTTCTGGGCCTGGGTGGTTACAGGGTTTGCCAGCCCACCAGCTCTCCCACACCTTCACTAACATGCTGAGCTCTCCAGCACTGCCCCGGGTAGCTTCCCACCTCAGCCCAGAGCCACAAGGCAGTTATGGTGAGAAATACATGATGGGGTATGGAAGAGAAAGATAGGTGGTTCGTGTCCTGTGGAGAAAGGCAGGGGTGATGAGGAGCAGGCTGAGGTTGGTGGCTTGCTTGCTATCCAGGGCCATGGTGTTGTCCAGGCCTGGTCTGCTGCCAGGACCCATGTCTTGCAGCTGCTGTCTTTGCTGATGTTCGTGGCTCCTGTTATCACCGAAGGCCAAGAGGATAGGGCTGCAGATATTTGTTCTGGTCCCTCGCAGACTGCAATACTAGGAAAAACTGGCCCTGCCCTCACCAGGTGCAGCACTCAGGAAAATGGGCCCAGCACCTCACCTGAGCAGAGTAGAGCTGAGCAAGATGGCCCAGAGGGTGTGAGAGGGGAGATCTGGTCCCCCCCCCCATCTGCAATGTGGTAGCGGGGAGAGAAAGATGCTCCCCCCTCCGCCACCTGTGGCAAGTGGGAGAGCTGGCCCTCAGGTCATGAGAGTGGAAGAGCTCAGTCACAGTGGCACCGGGCAGGGTTGTGCGGGCTCCTCGCTGCCTGGGACAGCTCACCCCTGTTACTAATTTTTAAGTAACTTGTATACCATTTTCTTTGCATTTCTAGCACCAAAACTGAAAGTGTTCCGTTCCTTACCGTCCTATTTTCCTATTGTCGCTAAGACCTGTATAATTCTAGAAAATTTGTCTTCATTTCTGGTTGATTGTTCACTAATTACCATGTTCAGTCCCGTTAATTTATCCAAGTTTATCCTTATTTTAAAAGTTGGTATTACCCTAGATGTTTTTTATCTCCACAAAACTCTTCAGGTTAAATTGTGCATCTTGATATTTTGTTTGAACAAAATAGTGTAAAAGGTGCACAGTTTAAATATATTATAAAATATAAAGTATTGGTCAATAAGAAAAAAGTTTGAGAGAAAGTTATAAGAATAATTTAAAATACACTTTTGTGACACTATAAAACTTTTGTATAGATTCATTTTTTCCTCTTCTTAATTGCAGCGTGGACCCCGATTGCACTGACAGTGCTTTTAGTGGCTGTTGCAACGTTGTGTAAAGAACAAGGAATAACAGTCGTCGGTATTTGTTGTGTGTATGAAGTGTTTGTGGCCCAAGGGGTAAGGAAAAAATGGAGTTTTTATTTTCTTTTTTATCCTAGCTAAACGATTTTAAACCTGATTCTCTAAATATGTCATTACATATAAAACATTCTGCTTAAAAAATATAAAAAATAAAACATTCTGCTTACTATAATAATAGCAAAATTTATAAGAAATAACTATATTTTACCCTCTTGCCCACCAGAAAATTATTACAGTATTATGACACCTTCATGGTTGAAGGACTAGGATCTTTTCTACAATTTGTGGAAATTCCTGGGATCCTGTGACACCATAGCTTAATGCTTGCCAGAGTACCGGTCTGGTCTCAGTGTTATCAGTTCCCCAAATTGTACCACATCACTTCACAGTTCTCACTTTGGGTCTAACTGCGTAGGTTTAGAATTAGTGCGTTGTTGGTGTCTGTCACTGAAACTGGTTTTCTTTTCAGTATACTTTGCCGTTATTATGTACAGTTGCCGGGCAGTTCCTCCGTGGAAAGGGCAGTATTCCTGTTTCTATGCTGCAGACACTCATAAAACTCATTGTCCTGATGGTCAGTACATTACTGCTTGTCGTGATCAGAGTCCAAGTCATTCAGTCCCAGCTCCCAGTGTTCACCAGGTATGAGATTGTTCGCTTTAGCTTTTCCCATTTTTTTTTAATAATAAGATTTTAGGTCATCATAAATGTTCCAGAAGGTCTTTAGTTTCTATTTAATTTTTCAACAGCTTTACTGAGATATCAATATAATCATAAAATTACATATACTGCTTAAAATAAACATAATTTCTGGTCTATATGTTTACAGTTGTGCGTGAAAACCCCACAGTAAAGATCATAATAGTGTTGTGTTCATATGGTGAGTAATTTTTGTCTGCTTTACCAAGTAATGTGGAGAGAAAAGTGTTCAGGTCTCTAACTAGACTTGTAAATTTGTCTATTTCTTCATGCAATTCTGGTAATTTTTAATTCATGTGTTTTTAACACTCTGAAACATTTAAAATTGTTGTGATATCTTGATGAACTAAGTAAGCCCTTTATCACTATGAAATGGGCTGTGTTAATGCCTAGTAATCCCTAATAATCATCTGCTCAGATGTTAACTGTTTTCTGTTAATGGACATGTAATATATAATTTTCTAGCACTTTACTGTTTACCTGTCTCCCTGCCTTAGTGAAGAAGGTTTCTTACAGAATATATGTAAATTGTCTTTCTTGTCTTTCAGATCTTTTGATGGGGTGTTTTATCCATTGGCTTTGAATGTAATGTAATGTAAATCTAAAGTGTTAGGATTTTCTCTTTGTCTCATCTCTATGTCTTTCTTCCAAAGATACTTACATACAGCTTCCTTGGGTAGACGTTTTTGCTTGGAATGTTTAACTTTGGAAGAATTTGAGTCTTTTATATTAAATTGTGGTGTTATTTACAGTGCTCTTATTACATTGCTATATCAACATTTTCCTGCTATGCCATTATTACTTTTCCAAGGAGGATTTTATTTGACACGTTGCTATCAGCAACAAATTCCTTCAACATTTGTTTCTAGAATTCTCTTTCTTTCACTTGTGCTTCTGCAAATACTTGTACTCAGTAGAGAATGTTATCTCAGCTATGCCCATGAGCTGCTCCAAAGTTGACTTTACTCTCTGGTATGCTTTGCCTTTATAGACCGATATTTTTAAGAAATAATGTATTTTGTTTCATTTCTACACTCAGACATTCCTTTCTTATGTCTCCCATAGTTTTACATGTATTTTTGTGTTCTGTGGCCTCTAATTGTATGTTTTAATGTGTATGATTTTTTTGGTCTGTTTTTGTTGTGCAAATTTTCTTGTCATTATGAGTTGTATTTATTAGTCATATACCTGATAATTTTTAAATGAAAGCAAAGCATTAAGAGTACATTGATATATTCCCATGAATCCTCTTGAAGTTTGTTCTGGGGTATATTTCATTTCTTTAAAGTCATGTTATCTTTGTTTGTTTGTTTGTTTTTCAAGACAGTTTCTCTGCTAGCTGGTGTCTGCCTTAGAACTAGCTCTTGTAGACCAGACTGGCTTCAAAAGATTGTGTTATCTTTTAATTTTTGTTTTTAAATTTTAATTGTGGAACCTTGGGATAGGAATTACTTTGTTTCACAAGAGCTTTCTGGTTAGTCTAACTTAGAACTAAACTATGAAAATTTCTAGCCAACCACTAGGTAACTATTCTCCAGATATTTTTTAATAATAGATTTTATCTCTAATTTTTATTAAGACATTCTTTCCTGACTATTAGCTTTGCTGTAACAACTGGAACAACTGTAAACTAGATAACCTAGAATCAACATGCCTAGCTTCTGGTGGTTGCTGGCTGTCACTGGTGTTCCCTGACTTGTAGCTTCCTCATACAAGTTTTATTTTATATAGCATTTTTATGTAGCCTTGCCTGTGTACCTGTTTGCCTTCACCTTGTAAAGGGCACCAAGTCATTGGACCTAGTGCCCACTCTAGTGTGACGATCTTAAGAAGTTAGAATCTGCATTCCATGGTTGCCTGCTGTAACATTAACCTTTTCCCACTTAATTACAGTTAAAATTTAAGATGAAATTTATGCTAGTCCCCCATAATTTTAAGTAACTGGTATTACATGAAGTAATTGAGGAGGGGAAAGAACCAACCACATAGTGATGTTTTTGTACATAGTACATTACAAGTTCTGGCTGGAAAAAATTAAATTCTTATTTGGATTCAAAATGCATTATAAAGCATGGATTATACAAAAAAGTTTCAGATTATTCTAAGACAAACATTTTAGTATTTTCCTGTAATTAGTTATTCTCAGCATTTTTTGTTGTTGTTGTTGCTGTTTTCAAGATATAATTTCATCTTATCTTTTACCTGAGTCTATCCTTGCTCAACTAGACTCATTTAGGGATTGGAAACAAGTTGAATTATATTTTTCTTACTTTTAGTTTTAATAATTTTGTTCTTTTTACCAGTAATTCTGAAAAATTGTTTGTATTTATGCTATATGAGTGTGTTTATTTGGTTCATACTGAATATAAATATATTTTTCAAAGTAAAAGCTTTTAAAGATGTACTTATAAATTATATGACCCTGAGAAATTGATTTTATGGTTTGGTTTGTTCAAACATTAATTCTTTAAATCGAATAATCTGTTCAGTTTTTAAAATGAGTAGTGTTTCCTCATGGAGGAAAAAGCTTCAAGTTCAGCTCTGACTCTCTGTGTAATCAACTGCGAAAGTTCTAAATGACACTGCTCAAGCAGTATTGATGTTCTTCTCAACCATTTCATAGTTTCCAAAATAAATCAAATAGGATAGAGGTTGCTACTTAATTTGTTTTAAAACAACTAACTGGTTTCTTAAGGAGTGTATGTAAATATAGTCATTTAAATTTAGTATTTGGATTTAAAACCAAATATGTAAACATATTCTTTGTAATTTACTTATTTTTTAAATTTTACTTAATTTGCAAAAATTAGACTAGTAATTAAATTCATAGTCAATATCTCATGATTTGGAGAAAACTATATATGGACATTTTAGTATTTACTAGGAGAAAAATGAGAACACAGAATGCTGAGTGGGCTTCCATGCTAAATACTTTGTGTTAGAATTGTGACTTTCAGTTTTGTTTCAAAGCAGGAAGAAAGTCCTAAGTGATGCAGATTTGTCTGCAGTGAAAAGACAAGGACAAATTTTTCCTAGGAATCATAATTGTTACTAGTATTTAGTCCTAAACTTTGATTCATACAGGATAACATTGTTATACATGCTAGAAGCTTCCATACAACAAATAAATCTGAATCTCATACAACTTGTTTATGGCCTTTAATTTGAAGGTCATGATTTAATGAAAGTACTTTTCCAGGCTGTTTCGGAATGTTATATTCATGTCTGGATTATTCTAGTAATTACTGAAAAGGACTGACCTGGATTCTCTTCAGGTGTTTCACCATCTCCATCACCTAGACATTTAACTTAGGCAGTTTGAGATTTTGAGTCAGATAGTAAGATTCTGAGGTACCTATAACACATTTTTATTCTTAAAAAAGATTTATTTTCACTGTATTTATGCATGTACCACATATGTGCAGACATAAGCAGAGGCCAAAAGAAATGTCAGATACCCTGGAGTTGGAGTTGTAGGCAGTTGTAAGCTGCCAGATTGGGAACTGAACTTAGGTCTCTACAAGAGCATTCCTAACTGCAGAGCCCCAATGTATTTATTCTCCTATTTAAGAGTATTGCACGTAAAGTAATTGTGTATTCTTCTTATATATTTAATAAATAAAATTTGTATCTAAAAAGTGGAGCTTGAGACTGCTGAGCTTGCTCAGTGGGTAAAGGCACTTGCCACCAAAATTTAGAGCATAGTTCCATTCTCAGGAGCCCACATGATGGAAAAAGAGAACCGAGTCAAAGGTTGTCCTTCTGACGTCCCCTTGTGTGGTAGTGCCATGCACATGCCCTCAATCTGATTCCTTCTCTTTCTCCCTTTCTCTCCCTACTAATTAAAAATACAAAGTCAAAGCCCACAACATTTAAAATTGGAGCTACTGTTTGCTATGTATTTAGTATATGCATATGTAATCGCCATACTTGAAAAACTAAGACAGGAGAATCCTGAGTTCAAGGTTGGCATGAGTTATATAAGCAGTAACTGTGTCTCAAGAAAACAACAGCTGGGATGTAGCTCAGTATAGAATGCTGGCCTGTTATTCAGTCAGTCTTCAGCACTGGGGAACACATTTTTAATGCTTTTGTTGTTGTTGTTTATGCAGGTTTGATAACCCAGCTGCTGTAAGCCCAACCCCTACACGACAGCTAACTTTTAACTACCTCCTTCCTGTGAATGCCTGGCTTCTGTTGAATCCTTCAGAGCTCTGCTGTGACTGGACCATGGGGACAATACCACTTATAGAGTCATTTCTAGATATCCGAAACCTTGCCACTTTCGCTTTCTTTTGCTTTCTGGGGGCTTTGGGAATATTCAGTCTCCGATACCCTGGTGATTCCTCGAAGACTGTCCTAATGGTAAGAAATCTTAACTACTTAAATAATGTTTCATTCAGTTGGTTACATGCGACATTATCTATAATTTATCCAGCGTATACTTCTAGAAGTATATTTCTTTGTAGATCATTCTCAACTTATGAACATATGTTAGATAGTTCTTACATAAATTATTAATTAAATTAATAATTAATCTGCAGGTATATTTTAGCATGCACAATTAGCTATCTAAAACAGCTAATAATATTTTTTTCTAATTTGATAGAAACAAATCAGTCAAATGCCTTTGCCATTCATTTTCTTTTTCTACATTTCTTATTCATAATTTAAAAGATGGTTATATTGTATACTTGTTTCCCTGGCCTAGCAAATAATGTCATGCAATGTGCAACTGAAAGTAATATAGATTTTAAGTTCTATTGGCAAGATTTTAATTACTCCCTAAGTGGGACTATGTTCAGAGACCTCTGATTATTTCAAATTAATTTTTGTGTATGTATACATTTTAATAACTTCCTCCTTAACATTAACTACTTGTTCAGTATAAATTTATGATTGCGACCTGTTTACCTGGTACTGTGATGAGAAGAGTTTTAATGTCCTTGTTTCCAGAGAGTTTGCAGTCTGAGAAACTTGTGACAAATGGATAACATACAGAAAAAGAATTTGAAAGAATGCAGAGTGTAGGAAAAAGATTCTTACACATGTGAAGTTAGATCTTGAAAACATCCTATTGGAGTTTTTGAACAGTCCTTTGAAGTTCAGAAGAAATGCTTAGGCCTCACTTAGACTTTTCCTTAGTCTGGAGGTGCTAATTGAAACCAGAGGATAGATGGTTGAGTATTGGGGGTGGAGGCCAAAACCTGGCAGAGGCCTGTCTCAACAAGGCTGTTACCAGTTCTCCATCAGTTGCTGCTTAGTATCAGTCAAGTCACATAGAGGGCACTCTTAATGGGTGCTGTGCAGTTCTGTTTGTTTGTTTGTTTGTTTTTCGAGACAGGGTTTCTCTGTGGAGCCTGTCCTGGAACTAGCTCTGTAGACCAGGCTGGTCTCGAACTCACAGAGATCCGCCTGCCTTGCTGTGCAGTTCTTAATGTTAATTCTCTCCTAGAAATGTATCTCCTAGAAATGTAGCTGAGTAATGTAAAAGAAGCTGAATTACCCCTGGACTCTGAATCCTAGAAAACAATCTAGGTAGGAGACAGACTCAAAAAAAAAAAAGGTAAATTTGAAAGTGTTAGATTTGATGAAATATCACTGAAGCGGTTTTATTGGAACATGAGAAAATGAGAGTTAGTTCATATCAAATAGACCATTGCTTGATATTTAAAAAGCATTTCATTTGTGTTGTGGAACTTTTTAGAAACAGATAATCACTGACGGATTGACTTTGTGATTTCAAGATTATTTGGTTGAAATATTAAGTGGCTTTCAAGCAAGTACTGGAACCATCCCAGAGTTGTCTTATGTGTCAGGGATGGAATAAATGGGGACAGATTACACAGTGGTACCCAAGTTTCCAGAGGCAGCGTGTTTAGATGTAGGTGTGCAGAGTACATTATGTGATTATAATTATAGTTAAGTGAACCTTTGTAGTAAACTTATACTAAAAGTTGTATTTCTCAGAGAACAAATAAAATATTGCTAATTATGTTTTTCATATGTCTAATGCTGTAAAAAGTATAGGGTTTAATTTCAAATGATGACTCGCAGAGTCCTTAGGCAGTCTCACAAAGTTCTGTGATTCAAAAACGGTGCCTCATACCTTGCTTAGGTACACACTGATGTTTGTTACTACCCATGCCTGACCTTTATGTTCAGTATTCATGATATTAGCATCTTAAATAGTCTACAAACTCATTTACTCAAAATAAATTATAAAAGCTTTTATTGTTTGTCATGTGTGTATTTTTTAATTTAATATGCTCTCTATCTTCTTTTTCATTCTAGGCACTTTGCTTAATGGCATTACCGTTTATTCCTGCCTCAAATCTTTTCTTTCCTGTTGGATTTGTTGTTGCCGAGCGAGTACTGTATGTTCCTAGCATGGGCTTCTGTATTTTAGTGGCTCATGGGTGGCAAAAAATTTCAAATAAAAGGTAAATTAAATCCTAGTTCGTCTGATGATTATTAAATTTAGAATGAAATACATTAAAATTTAATGTTATTATTTTAGTCTGTATGTAATTCAGTTTTATAAGCTGTACTTTTAGTCTTTTCATCTTGGTAGCTGTAACTGGAGTTAGAAAAGCTCTTCACCACCTGGTCACGTGGTGTTTCCTGTTTAATTGATATTATAGTCCAAGATGACAAACTGAGTCAGACCCAGGTGAAGACAGTGAGACTGCTATTGAAACTCAAGCACTTTGATATGCAGTGACTAAGATATGGTCATCCTATTAGAATCATATTGAGTTCTTAGTGTATATAAAATGGGTTTAGCAGGCATTCATAATTTCCTCTCACCATCTTCATTATAAAATAATGTGGGTTTCCATGTTGCTTTAACAGTTAAAGAACAGTATACTTAGAAACTAGCATAATCATAGGAGTTGTGTTCATTTAGTATATCAATAAAATATATCAAGCAAATTTTTAGTAGTCAAATAATATTAATATGATACTAAATTTTGATTTACAGCTGACTCTGTCTACACCACTCTTAATACCTCTTATGTATTACCTCCTCTTATATCCAGTCAAGACTCTTATTTAAAATTATTTCCATGGGTTTTATGAACTTTTCCCTTCTAATTATCTCATGAAAGTCCTAGCTCATACTCTTCCTACTATATCTACTCTGAATATTTCCAATTTTTTCTGCATTTTGCATCTAGCCTCTTTTGACAAACATGTACTCTGTAGACTTTCTTATTTGGTTTCACAATTTTCATCCATGTTTACCAAGTCTTTCTTGTAATTTCTACCAATGTATCCAGTCATTATCACTGCCAGTTTTTAGTACCTACTAAGTGCTAATGATATTTGTGATAGACAATAGATATTTAGAATTATTTTCTCTTTAACACACCTATCCTCCTTTTCATATGTAAAAATTGAAGCTCGTACTAGTTACCTGAACTGCTTGAAGTCACACAGCTTGTAAACAGAAGTGTTTATTATAATTTACATTGTAATTCTTCCAGTGATATTACCTGATCCATATTATCTTGTTCTGCATGAGTGAATCTGTCAAAATGCAAGATATTGAACCATATTAGAGATCCAAAGATAGACACTCAGAATATTAACTAAGTTAGATAATAGACATTGAAGTAATCATCCTGTTGTAAGTGAATTATTAGACATTAACAGCCAAGAGTTTGGGGATCTGTGTCTGTTTTATAGGTTTTCCTCTGTTTTTTAATAGACAGTTCTGACCTAAAAGTGTAAATAAAAATATTCAGAGAATAGAAAAGCAATATATTAGTAAAAATTTGCATTTGTTCCATATGTGTGTAGACTTTAAACTCTTGCATAGTCATTAAATATTGTTTATAATATATGAAAAGTTGTGTAGGTTCTATACAAATGTTTGCCTCGGACTTTGCTGTCATGTGGCAATTTTGTAATAGATCTTCAGGACCCAAAGAATGAATAAAATCTAGTGAAGACTCAATTGGAAGCCCATATTCATAATATTTAATTTGGGAGTGTTGTGCTCTCTAACTGTTGAAGTCATTAGAATGAATCAAAAATGATAATTTGGAAATATCTAACATATTTGTTGCCTCTTCTAAGATGTAAAATGCCTTCGGTGTTGATTGACAGTATTTTTTCTTCTTCTATCTTTTGAACAGTGTATTGAAAAAGCTCTCTTGGATTTGTTTGTCTATGGTGATATTAACCCATGCCTTGAAAACACTCCATCGGAATTGGGACTGGGAGTCTGAATATACATTGTTTATGTCAGCATTAAAGGTGAAGTATTGTTATTCAGATGACAGGAACATATGTTTTTGTGAAACCTATTTTTTACTATATTTTTAGGCAGACAATTAATTCTACTTTAGCCAAGAAGCAATAAATTGTTCTTATATAGTACATACCATAACCAACTCCCTAGGTGCTATTTAATTATATATCTAAAGAATATATAAGTAGTTCTAGGAGTGGTATACAAAATTCACGTGAAGGTCACATGATAAAATTTTTAAAAATAGAGCCAGGTGGGGTGGTGCATGCCTTTCATTCCAGAACTCAGCAGGCAGAGGCAGGTGGATCTTTGTGAGTTCGAGGCCAACCTGGTCTACAGAGTGAGTTTTAGGACAGGCTCCAAAGCTACAGGGAAACCCTTTCTCAAAAATCAAAAACAAAACAAAATTAAAATATAAAACTATATCTTCTTAGTTCATGGGTGCACAGTTTTTACCGTTTAATATCTTAATAGCAAGATAGTATAGGATATGACAGTTGACTGTGGTTTCTGTCCGGCCCAGTCATAGAGCTGTTCAGTCCCAAAGAAACACACAGAGGCCTACATTAAGTATAAACTGGTTGGCCTAGCAGCTCAGGCTTTCTTATTAACTCTTATATCTTACAGTAACCCATAATTCTTGTCTGTGTTAGCCACATGGCTTGGTATCTTTATCAGTGAGGTACTTTCATCTTGCTTCCTCTTGGTCTGGATGATGACTGCTGGCTGAGCCTCTCCCCTTCCCAGAATTCTCCTGTTCTTGTTGCCCTGCCTGTACTTCTTGCCTGGCTACTGACCAATAAGCATTTTATTAAAACAATACAAGTGACAAATCTTTACAGGGTACCAGACCATTGTCCCACAGCATATGACATCTCAGAGTTAGTGACTTTGTTGCTAATGGTATGTAAAATAATGAGTTCTATAATGAATTCATTATTAATTCAGTGAAGTGAAACACATAACAAAAGTGCCAGCCTACTGTGTGAAGGAGTACCACTGGCTCAGCACTATTGGGAACGGAGCTGGTAGACACAATTTTATTTAAAAATAAAATCCTCCCCCCCAAGCTCGTCTTTTATCCTTTCCAAATCTTGACTCTTTGTTTTTTGTTAATTGTATA